ACGGGGATCAAAGTAAGTCATCTTAATGTGCGAAGTTTACTACCAAAGATTGACTCAATACGCCTGTTTATCAGCAAAAATCCATTTGACGTTTTTACTTTATCTGAAACTTGGCTTAAACCTACATGTACCGATGCAGAAATTAGCATACCAAACTATCTAATCACTCGTCAAGACCGTAAAGATAAAGCCGGTGGCGGAACAGCCATTTATATTAAGGAGAGTTTACCATATCGAACACGCGATGATTTATGTAGTAAAACAATCGAAACTTGTTGGATTGAGATTATACGACCTCATACGAAATCAATGTTAGTTTGCTCGGTTTATCGACCACCAGATTTCCCAATAAATCATTTTATAGAAGAACTAAACAAAGATCTCGCTAAAATCCCAGAAAATGCAGAAATTATTTTAATGGGTGATTTCAATGTCGACTACAAACAACGCTCAACGGACAAATCGCGCATACAAACCTTTGCGCGCGCTCACTCAATCGAACAAATCATCACGTCACCAACAAGAATCACGGAAAAAACGCAATCAATGATTGATTTGATTTTCGTGAACAATAATCCACGTGTTGTTTCTAGCGGAGTTTTTCCTTTGTCAATCAGCGATCATTCCCTGATATATTGCACAGTTAAAGCTGGTCTTTCTAAATCTGGCGGATGTTACAGAGACATTAACTATCGTTGCTATAAGAATTACAATGAAAACGAATTTAAAGATGATCTAGGAAAATCAGATTGGACATTCGTTAACTCGTCGAACCATATTGATGAAATTACCAATAAATTCTGTAAAACATTTTCTGAATCAGCCGATAAACATGCCCCTATGAAAAGCAAGAGAGTAAAATCTACCATACGAGGACCATGGTTGACCTCTGAACTACATAACCTAATGCGAGAACGCGACTTCCATCTAAAACATGCCCAAAAGTACAGTTCAGAATACCACTGGAGTACCTACCGCGATCTCAAAAATTACATAAACCAGCAAGTCAAGATATGTAAATCCAACTACTATCAAAATTTGATCAATGTCAATAGAGATAAACCGGACGAGCTTTGGAAAACAATTAATGAAGTCACCTCTCGTAATCCATCCAAAAGCACTCCCTCCTGTATTATCAGTGATAACGTCGCAGTAATCGACCCAAGTTGCATCGCAACAATCATGAACGACTACTTTTCATCTATAGGATCCACGCTTGCAAACAAGATCAAAGATTTGCTTAAACCCAAGTCAACTGAAACTCACGCTACACCATCGCATTCATTTAATTTCAAAAAAATTGAGGAAATATGTGTACTGCAGGAACTAAACAAATTAAGAACTAACAAAGCCACTGGTCTGGACGGAATTAGTGCCAAACTACTTAAAGATTCTGCCTATGTAATAGCACCATATTTGACCAAAATATTCAACCTTTCCCTACGCTGTGGCTCATTTCCCGAAATCTGGAAAAAGGGTAGAGTTACTCCAATTTTCAAATCTGGAGATCCAACTTCATCTAACAACTACCGACCAATAACTATCCTACCAACCTTGAGTAAGTTATTAGAACGTATCGTCACCGTCAAGTTTACAATTACCTGCAGGAACATAAGTTAATTACTCCCCAACAATTCGGTTTTCGCCCTAAACTGTCAACAACTATTGCATTGGCACATTTTGCTGAGCAGATACTGGATAATCTCGATCACAAAAAGTTTACTGGTGCCGTCTCTATCGACCTAAAAAAAGCTTTTGATACCGTCGACCATACAATCTTATTGGAGAAATTGAAATCATTTGGCTTTTCTTCGACTGCTCTCGACTGGTTCTTCTCTTATCTATCAAACCGTACCCAAGTAACTATGATCAATAATTCAATATCCCACCCCAAGCCAGTTACTGTTGGAGTTCCTCAGGGAAGTATTCTTGGACCACTTCTCTTCCTGATTTATATCAATGATCTACCTGAATGCCTGACGCACTGCAAGTCGATACTTTATGCTGATGACACTCTCCTGTATTACTCTGCAGAGAGTATTTCAGAACTTCAGTCAAAACTCAACTCCGACCTGCAATCCCTTTCCTGTTATCTTAACAACAACCTCCTTACACTCAATTATGAAAAGACAAGTTCATCATTTTTGCTGGTACTCGACGCCTACGATCCATATCTGAAATAAACATCTCTATTGGCAATCGTACTATAAAACAAGATGAATCGTTGAAATACCTGGGAATCACGATCACCGAAAACCTTACCTGGCATAAACATATTGAGAACCTAATGGGGAAAATTAACCAAAGATTGGGATTGCTGCGCCGTGTGAAATATTTCTTACCGCTGGATGCAAGACAAATTTTCTATACCTCGGCAATTTTACCACTATTCGACTATGCTGATATAATATGGGGCGATAAAAACAATTCTGAGCTTATGAATTCCCTACAAACCCTGGAAAAAAAGCAGCTAAATTGATTCTAGACCTCCCTCCTCTTTCGTCAGCAACAGAAGCACTCGCTACATTACACTGGTCAACACTCTCTTCTCGCAGATATAAACATCGATGTATCTTCATATACAAATGCACCAATGGACTGATCGATTTCGGCTTCAACCTAAGAACCAACAGAAGCGTCCATTCCCACAACACAAGGTCGTGTAACAACCTTCATCTTCCGAAAGTCAACACTAACTGGGGTAAACATAAACCTACATACCAAGCTTCTAAAGAATTCAACAACTTGAACGATTCCATCAGAAACTCTATCTCTCTGAGTCATTTTAAGTCGTCCCTGAAGTGACATTGACTGACACACTATATATAAATATTGTTAATTGCATGTCTCAATATGTTTTTTGTTTGTCTATGTCCATGTCCACGTCGTTGTCCTTGTCCTTTTTAATGTATGTGTATGTCTATGTCTATGATTATTAGAAAACGTAGAACATTTATTCATATGTTGTTATGTGGTATTTTAAAATTGTATATATGATAGAAGTTACGTTTAAATTATTATATTAGTAATATGATTGTATCATGCAGGACCCCACTGAAAAACACTATAAGGTGATGTGGGTATCCTGGTTAAATATAATAATAATAATAATAATAAATAGCCTATTGCTTCCTTACATTAGTGATAAACATCACAAATTTTTTGTAGAACGTTTGTAATTTAGCGAAATTGCCGCACACTCAAATATAGTGGAGTTAAAACGGAAACTTTGTTAGCGGCTTGGCGTTTGGTCAAGCTAAAGGCCTCTAATATATCGGTTTTGCATCAATAAACATGATTTTAAAATATATAAGCCATACCATTATAAAACGTCAAGGAATTAAGCCCTAAAATTTCGCATTTCGTTCTCAGACAAATTCAGCCTTTATAAATTTGAGTATCGCTTTCACAGAATATATATACGGCAAAAGAGCTGATAAAATAGTTGTGGTCCAGTATGGAATGAAGGTCTCACGGCGTTTGTTTCAACATCAACAATGTTAGTCATTTGAATTTAGGCGCATATAGCTAATCTTGCCCCATTTTGTTATTAAGAAGTCCACATTTGGCGCTGAAAACAAGGCTCAATCATAAAGAATTAAATGTTGTCTGCCGCAGTAAAGTTGTACATTATATACAGTGTTGTGGTTGACGAGAAGCATACGTTTGAGATATGAAAAATATTACTTTAAATTCGGTTCATTTCATTACCTTGTTTTCAACTTCCTCGTCTGAATCTACACTTTGTTTCGTATTCACATATCGCTTCAGTTTGTGATTTACCCAGTAGAAGCTGCAGAATTTGACCGTCCGAAATTGTAGACGAAATATTACAACATGTTGTTTTGTATGTTTAGTTTCAGTTTGAGTTGCATTCACCCCAATCGAGGATATCGTATTACACGGAAATTACGACATGGTGCAAACTAAGACTTCCTTTGTATATCTATATTGGCTCATTTCAAATTCAGGCGTTCGGGTCTGATAAGATTTCAGTAAATATTACATGACTTTCGAGCAGAAATTTTTCGACACTAATAAGGGATACTAAATGGTTTTCTGTGCAGAGTTGCGTGATACTGCACGCAGAAAATTTTCCAAGTGCAGTATCACGCAATCCTGCACGGAAAACCATTTAGTATTTTCTGTATAAAAAAACTACAATGAAACGACGGTCAAATTTCCAGCGCAAAGCGGCATTGTAAACTTTCCGTGCAGGATTGTCTCATACTGCACGCCTACGAACCAATCAAATTGCGTGTTTCATTGTAGTTATTATATAATTGGCATTCCTGCAGCCTCCAGACTCGGGTCAATATTAGGCACCATGAAAAGAATGTGGTATTATACTTCGTTTCTGCAGCCAATCCACCAGAGAAATGAATCGGATGATCCCTGTTGTCTAAAGAAAGGGGTATGAATATTGGAGCGATTAAAATAACCACTATCCCTTTCGTACAACGACAGTAAAGATATAGAAACAAACTAACGGTGCAGGCAGGATTGCGGGAAACTTTTTGTGAATGGTAATAAATTTGAACCAACGCAAAACAATGTATCCACTAGATTAACCCTTGCGACAGATTATCCATCTGTATAAACAGGCCCAAGTGCAGAGAGCACATAGCACATCAGAGGCCGTTGTACGAAGACCTACGAAAGCTGTTTAGCATCGGATACTATTTTTTTTATCATTGTAAAAAAGGTGTCTGAAAAAAAAACCCTGTAGATATTCACCCAATAATGAATAGAGAGCAGGGGCGCCGGAATATCGATAATGACGGGGCAGATATTCATATATTCGTGTTCGCAGATCGTAAAAACAATCGATTTCAAAAGGAGTTAATAATGCAGAACACGAATATGAATATCTGCCCCCGTTATTATCGATATTCCGGCGCCCCTATAGAGAGACACATATACTTCAAGAGTAGGAAGGTTTAATTCAAATTTTAGCAAAACAGGAGCGATAGTAAAAAACACTGTATGGTGGATAGTGCTATCCGACCTTCGTAAAACCGGCTCCATGCAGAACATCAAATCTTGATAACCTGAACGCTCATGCCTTTAATTTCGTTCTACCCTTTACATACATGTAACGAAAATGCGCTAGTTTTAATCAATTACAAACACCACTAGTAACTTTGTCTGAAAATTATTAATCGATCCATTTACTTCACCAGCTGGGGCCGGTTGTATGAAAGCTGGATAGCGCTATCCACCGGATAGTGATTTTTTCAACCGTTCTAAAAATGCTCGAAAAGGGATAAAATTTTAGCTTGAAAGCAACAATTATTAAAGAGGATCCTCGATTTAGGAATACTGAGACTTAATCAAAGTTGTGGCAAATAACGGGCAATTTTGAAGCGATTGAAAAAACCACTATCCGGTGGATAGCGCTATCCGGCTTTCATACAACCGGCCCCAGGAGTATAAATTGGATCAATGTTATAAACTGTTTCATTGTTCTTGGAAATCAAAAGTCAATATTCGGCACTATACATTTAAATGATATAAAATGTTAAATATATACAGGACATGATTAACACACAACTGTTGTAGCTCCGTATCTTGCTTCTTGCATTTCCGGAAGTTCTTCCCAGGTGAAGGAGTCGAACCTGAAACTTTCGACAGACTTTAAAGAGTTTCCATTTTCATCGTATCCCCCAATGACGACCACAGTGTCACCAACGACTGCTGCAGCGCATCCTCTCCTCTTATACTTCATGTCTGGTAACATGTGGCTCTTCTGAGTTTTGATGTTATATATGAGTACTTTGTTCAATAACTTATTGCCATTCTCACTGCCTCCGATTAAAATCACTTTGTCATCACCCCACTTGACAGTGGCCATCCGATTCACAGGATAAGGCAGTGGCGCTAAATGACGACATTCATTCTTGACAATATCATACGACAAAACGCTTTTCAGATTCGACGAATCCCAACCTTTTTTCCCCCCAAGAATTACGATCGTGTTACCAAACAAGACAGCCCCATGTAGCCATCTACTCTCTGAAAGGGTAACCAACACTTTACTGGTATAAGGAGGAACAAGAGATATCTCAGTAATGTTAGCAGGTGTAAATGCAGTTCCATCATAACCTCCAATGACTATCAACCGCCCATTATACACAACACTGGAGTGTCCATACAAGGGCCCGCGTAACACTGCAGGATCATCTTCCCAAAATATGGACTGGTTTACATGGACATCTTTCAACGTTGATTTCTCCGTCGACTTTACTACCTTACCATTGCTAAAACCTCCACTGACAAGCATTTGATTGTTGTAAACGACAGAGGATGCGAAGTTACGGGGCTGTTTCATTGGTTGTAGTGGTAACCACTTTGCATTTGAGAGGCTGAACATTTCCACAGAATTTAAACTCTTACGATTATATCCCCCGGCAACGATAATCTTCGGCTCTCTTTCAGGTTCAACAGCTTCTGCGATACTTTTCTTTAGATCTTCCCGCTGCTGGGTCAATCTTTCCATTTGTTGTGCCACTTTCTCTAAACATTTCTTCATTTCTACATTGTCCGCTTCTAGCCGACGATTGCTTTCTTCCTGCTTGTTGAGTTGTTTTTGAACCATATCAGCGTTCGCCAGCACACTTTTCTCATTTCTATCCAACTTCATCTCATTTTGTTTCAAGGTTTCACTGACTTCATTCAACTTGAGGTTCATCACAGCCAAGTTTTCCTTAACTATATCCATCTCTTGGCTAAGTTCATTGCAGCTGTGACATTTCACACGGCGAAATTCACACACGGCCGTTTCATGATGCAATAAATCTTGCTTATCGACTTCCTGACCACAGCCTTCATTCGAGCAGACTGCTGGGGCAAACCCACAGTCCACAACATGCCTTTCAAGCTCTCCTAACTCCACAAATCTTTCACAACCACGATTGAAGAATTCACAGTGAATCTTTAATTCCGACAGTAGATTGGTTACGGTCCGCGATGCTCGAGTCAGGGTGTCAACAGTAAGTGGCTCAATACATGTGGGACATGTCTGAGAGTTCATGAGATGTCTGGTGATGCAACCTCTACAGAACATGTGTTCATTATGTCGACACATGACCGGGTCTTTGATGACGTTGTAGCAAATACCACAGTGAAAGCTCTGACCAACTGGATGTTGGAATCGCTCATCGTCATATCCGGTTTCGTACGAAGCCATTTTCTGTTTACATCTGAAAGAAATTGGATAGATTATAAAAGTCTGACATTACTTGTAGATTCTACTCAAAATAGTAGGTCACAAAACAATAAAAATTTACCGTTCAAAAATTAAACTTTATTCGGCAAATGTGAAATACATACTGCAAAGCTGGAATTTAATTGTTCGCTAAATACACGAGCAATAATGCATATTGCTTTCTTACATGACTTCTTAAATAACACGAGGTTTATGTTGAACTTTTTTGATTTAACGAAATTGTTGCACACTCTAAGGGTGGACTTCCACTTACAGAGAAATAGTTCGCTAGCGAAATATTTGCATATTTTCTTTTGAATCGAGAGCGGTAATGTAGAATTAATTTATTTATGCTGTTGAAATTCGAAAGAAAACATGCCAATATTTCGCTAGCGAACTATTTCTCTGTAAGTGGAAATCCAGCCTTAGATAGTGTAGGTAAGACACGCACGATGTTGGGTAGCGGCTTGGCGTTTGCCGTAGACACAAATCGATCTTTAAAGCTGGTTTACATACAACATAATTCGTCGTAATTCACATGTCGTAATTTGTTGAAATTTGTTCATATTTGGTTTTCATATGTCGGATTTCGTAAAATTTTCGTATAACAACTAATTACGACATGTAAATTGTGACGAATTATGCCATACGAAAACCAGACTGAAGGCTACTAAGGCCAGTTTCAGAAGTCGAAGTTCGCATGCGCCGAACCTAATGTTAATGCATGACTAAAGTCTTTGCATTCGATTCGGCACATTAAATGTTCGTCGTCTGAAACGGGCGTAATGCCAGTGAATACCAACACACATATCTTGTCCTCCGGAGTTACGTCTTTATCGCGCTGAAAATACTTCACAATCCATAAAGAAAATATTGTTGTTGGCCAAAAATTGTACATTTCGTACAGTGTGATGGTTAACAAGCTAAAGGGCAGTCGTTTGTGAGTAGATTAGGAATTTAACTTCCTGAAGTGTATTACTTCTAAATTGGGTCTTTACCTTGCTGTAAATTCGTTCAACTGGATCTAGACTCTTGTCTGGTATTGCCATATCCCAATAATTTGAAATACTGATTCTGATTTAACCAAAAAAGCTACAGAAATAAGCCATTTAAAAGACAAGACGATATATTTCGACGTGTTAAGGCGGATTTGCATATTTACATGCTTTCTTTTGAATTTTAACAGCATAAATAAATTAGTTCGACTTGACTGTTCTCAATTCAAAAGAAGAATATGCAAAATTTCGCTAGCGAACGATTTCGCTGTAAGTGGAAATCCACCTTTATGAATATTGAACATCTGAAATAGGTAAATTTGCATGCAAGGTGAAATGGTCTATTGTTAATTTTTTCAAGCGTCATCCACTGGAGAGAGTGATATCAGCCTAGAGACAGATCATCCATCCAGACAAACAGGCACTAATACAAAGAGAATAATTATAGTATGTCCAGTCATTAAAATGAACTGGTTTAATCGGTTACACACACCACTAGTCTGTTTTTTCTGAAATATTATTTCTATAACAATTGATTTACTTCACAAGCACGAGTATAAACCGGATCAATGTCATAAACTGTTTCATTGTTCTTTGAAAATCAAATGTCAATATATATATATTATATATATATATATAATATATAATATATATATAAATATATATTATATATATATATAAAAATATGCAGGACATAATTAATTAACATACAACTGTTGCAGCTCCGTCTCTTGCTTCTTGCATATCGGGAAGTTCTTCCCAGGTGCATGAATCGAACCTGAAACTTTCGACAGACTTTAAAGAGTTTCCTCTTTCATCTTGTCCCCCCATAACAACCACAGTGTCACCAACGACTGCGGCAGCACATCCTCTCCTCTTATACTTCATGTCTGGTAACATGTGGCTCTTCTGAGTCTTGATGTTATACACAAGTACTTTGCTCAATAACTTACCGCTATAGTTACTGCCTCCGATTAAAATCACTTTGTCATCACCCCACTTGACAGTGGCCATTCGATTCATAGAATAAAGCAATGGCGCTAAATGACGACATTCATTCTTGACAATATCATACAACAGAACGGATTTCAGATTCGACGAACTATCCCAAGCTTTTTTCCCCCCAAGAATTGCGATCGTGTTACCAAACAAGACAGCCCCATGTAGCCATCTACTTTCTGACAGGGTAGCCAATACTTTACTGGAATAAGGAGGAACAAGAGATATCTCAGCAATGTTAGCAGGTGTAAATGCAGTTCCATCATAACCTCCAATGACTATCAACCGCCCATTATACATAACACTGGAGTGTCCATACAAGGGCCCACGTAACACTTCAGGATCGTCTTCCCAAAATATGGACTGGTTTACATGGACATCTTTCAACGTTAATTTCTCCGTCGACTTTACTGCCCTACCATTGGTAAAACCTCCAATAACAAGCATTTGATTGTTGTAAACGACAGAGGATGCAAAATGACGGCTTTGTTTCATTGGGGTGTAGTGGTAACCACTTTCCATTTGAGAGGCTGAACATTTCCACAGAATTTAAACTCCCAGCATTATATCCCCCAGCAACGATAATTCTCGGCTCTCTTTCAGGTTCAACAGCTTCTGCGATACTTTTCTTTAGATCTTCCCGCTGCTGGGTCAATCTTTCCATTTGTTGTGCCACTTTCTCTAAACATTTCTTCATTTCTACATTGTCCGCTTCTAGCCGAAGATTGCTTTCTTCCTGCTTGTTGAGTTGTTTTTGAACCATCTCAACGTTCACCAGCACACTTTTCTCATTTCTATCCAACTTCTTCTCATTTTGTTTCAAGGTTTCACTGACTTCATTCAACTTGAGGTTCATCACAGCCAAGTTTTTCTTAACTATATCCATCTCTTGGCTGATTTCATTGCAACTGTGACATTTCACACGGCGAAATTCACACACGGCCGTTTCATGATGCAATAAATCTTGCTTATCGACTTCCTGACCACAGCCTTCATTCGAGCAGACTGCTGGGGCAAACCCACAGTCCACAACATGCCTTTCAAGCTCTCCTAACTCCACAAATCTTTCACAACCACGATTGAAGAATTCACAGTGAATCTTTAATTCCGACAGTAAATTGGTTACGGTCCGCGATGCTCGAGTCAGGGTGTCAACAGTAAGTGGCTCAATACATGTGGGACATGTCTGAGAGTTCATGAGATGTCTGGTGATGCAACCTCTACAGAACAAATGTTCATTATGTCGACACATGACCGGGTCTTTGATGACATTGTAACAAATACCACAGTGAAAGCTCTGACCAACTGGATGTTGGAATCGCTCATCGTCATATCCGGTTTCGTATGAGGCCATTTTCTGTTTACATCTAAAAGGATTCATAAAAGCTAGAATGATATCTCTACCTTTACAAAGAAAGTGATATCTCTGCCTTTACAAAGGAATATATACCGTATATGAGCGGGTTTGTTTTCGTCTAATGGCAAAAAGGTCACATTAAAGCAAAGGATCTCCAATCCGGTTTTCGCATGTTTTGAGGTATATTTACATTTCGATGTTTCGCTGGGAATTAGTGTATTTTGGAGTTAAGGCTGTGGTACAATATGCAATTTTCCTTGAGAGACGTATAAATTTGGAAATGTTGGAAATGCTCAGAAAACGTTAGCAGAGCATAAGAAATGTTCGTATTTGACAACTTTAGATGCCTCAGGAGTTGAATTGCATTCCAAGTGCAGGAAAGTCTTTCTTGCACATTTTGCCAAGCAGATTGCCTTTTCATTGCCTCGTACCCAGAGGCTTTACTTGAAAACATATCACAATTTTATCAACCTCCCCAAGCACAACCCCGCGTTCGATTTTTCTCAGCTCACCTCTGTTACAAATTAATGCAACGTTATATGCTTTCAACTAAAGTGCCTGGGTATACGAGGGTATAGCTAATGCAAGTCAATATTGCTACGGCAATGGACCTTATGCATAATGACAAAACACACACTCTGACGCGCAAGAATACCAATAAGAGTTTGCTAATATTTTAAAAAGATTTCCTTAGATGGAGTAAAACCGCAGATAGTTTTCTCAAAAGTTCGTATGAATTCCTGTTTTAATTTTCTAAATCGAAGTCTTTAGATGTTTTTGGTTTTAAACATGTCTAAAAGCATGGAAACTTCAGGATAATGTAGTTCAATCGTTGGTGACTATTAGGTTGTAGTTTTTGTGGCATTTCTTTATTTAATTTTTGACATAACATAATTATATATTTGTGAAACTCTTTCCTATACCTTGCCATTATATGTATATAGACTAAGTAAACAAAGTATAAGCGCGACACACCCGCGAGTATCACACGCGCAAGTCAAAGTCTGGGTTGCCTATGGTGAGCCCTAAAATTTCGCATTGTGTTCTCAGATAAATTCATCCTCGATAACTTTTAATTTCCCCTCTCCTGAGTCATTTTATTAACAGAATATATACCGTAATATACGACAAAAGAGTTAATAGTCGTGGTCCAGTATAGAATGAAGCTCTCACGGCGGTTGATTCAACATAACAATGCTAGTCAATTGAATCTAGCGAAATCTCTGGCAAATATCTTCGCGCATATATGCGAATCTTGCCCCATTTTGCTATTATAAAGTTCACCTTCGGCGCATTAGAGAAGCTTAGAGAAGGCTGAACTGTTGTATGCCGCGTAAAGTTGTACATTCCACAATCCACATATATATATTGCCGTTTGCCGAGGCTGACGTGAAGCAGACGTTTGGATGGTAATACTAAAACTTCCTGGAAAATATTACTTTAAATTCGGTTCATTACCTTGGCGTCAGTATCTTCGACTGAATCTTGGATTTGTTTCGTATTTACATCCTGCCTCAATTTATGATTTACCAGTAGAAACTACACAATTTGTTCCATTGCAAACGAAATATTTCGACATGTCTGTGTGTTTAGTTTCATTTTGAGTCGCATACACCCCAATCGAGGATATCGTATTACACGGAAATTACGACATGGTGCAAACTAAGTATATATATTGACGCCCCTTGCCAAAACTGGAGCACTCTCTCCCCCCTTGAAAATGGTATATTAAAGACGTGGGTGGATTTGGAAAGCAACCACTAGTGTACATGTTAGGAAGCCATTTTCAATTTGTAATAGAATACACACGGTATCGGCTTCATTTACCAAAAGCAGTCTATAAATTTTGATCACTTTTGTGAAACTGTATTTATAACGACAGTATTACTTCACGTCCCCGTCGTAGGCGCCAGGGACAGGGTGGCTAATTTTTTGCATCGTGCAATGGCGGGAAAATTTCGCGCCAGTTTAATTCGGGTTTTTAAACCAATTAAGGCCTGTTTCAAACGTCGCATTTTGCATGTGTCGAATACAATTGTTTGAATTATCTGCATGCGAAATGCGACGTATGAAACAATTGAATTCGCTGTTTTTAATTGCGGTCGACCGTGATGCTAAATTCGACTGTTCCGGTCGCATTATGCGAGCTGGGTGCGACGTGGTTTCATAGGTCGTATTTTGCATGTGTCGAATTCAATTCGCTTGAAGAAAAAGACAAAGAACGTCATGCATGTTATGATATTGAAAGGCATAAGTAAGGAAATATGGAGGCCGTAGACAAAAGAAATGAACCAGAACAATAATATTGCATTACGTGTGCATGAAAGTTGACAAAATACATTTGCCTACCGCGACTGTTTAAAATCGTTGCGCAGTACACGAACAAAACGAAGAATCCCAATCCCAAGGCTGGCTTACTGGAAGCGGCTGGGAAGCAATTGGATATTGCATAAAGTGCAATATATTTAGGCAAAAATATGAGGAAAATAATAGCAAGAAAAGGATTTCTAAAAATATGACATTTTTTATTTACGCCTAAGCGGAATGTCGCTGATCATAAGGAATAGAGCCCGCAACTATTTGAATTGAGCACATGCGAAATGCGACGTTTGAAATGACGGTCGGATTATTGTTTTAGGGTCGAATCTAATTAGAATTGTATTCGACGCGGCATATGGTAAAACATGGACTGGACTGGACTAGTAAAAGGTGGACTGGACTCATTAGTAAAAGGTGGACTGGACCGATATAGCCCCGATTAGTAAAAGGTGGACTGGACATGGACTGGACTCGTTAGTAAAAGGTGGACTGGACTCGTTAGTAAAAGGTGGACTCTAACCGGAAGCAACGAAACACCATTCCGGAAATGAATACGTAAACAATATTCAGGGGGGAGATAAACACTAAAAAGTACCAAAAAACACTATTAGGCATTCAATATTTTATGATTTCGTACCAATGTACACAAAACAAAGACTTTATTTTGGTTATTTACCGTCAATCCATGTAATGATTATTCTTAACTTAACGGTAAGCAACTCCCCTAGCATCAATTTATATCAAAACTTTCTACTCAAGACTTTCGTATAAGGAGCTATAAACATATCGGTGATATATATCGACCGTCGTCTATACGATTTCATACGAAGAGTAGATATAAAAGAGGGTTCACTCTTCGAAATTCCAATAATTTAGCATCAATGATTAGATATATATCTACTCTTTGGTTATATCCATCCCGGGATAACAACAATGAGAACTAAGAAATTGCAAAGTGCAAGTATTTTTCATGGGCTGTGCTGCTACAAACTTTTAAATAAATATATGGGTTTGACTTTTGGCATACTGTTCCAGTACGATTAGCCACTTCCTAATTTTTTTACTTTTACAATTTGATTTCTTATTTTTTGTAGATTTTCTGCAGGTTTGCATTAATGCATAGTATAAAATATATTTTAGTTTATGTGAACACACAACATGAATATTTATTGCCAAATATTAATACAAGTTATTAATATAAAACTATAATTTACCTCCATACGACTACACAAAATGTGTCTATTTATTTTTTTATTGACATCAATTATTAACTCAGTGAGACTTTTGCCAGAACTAGCTAGTGCAGATGTCTATTATAAACACAATAAATAAATAACATAAAAGGCCAACCGACCAATATTTTTTGTTGGATTACAGATTTTGCTCTCTAATATCAGAGGGCGGTGGGTGAAAAAGACAAAAAAAGGAATTAATTTCCCAATCTCTTACCAACCCTGTATTTATTAAAACAAACTCCACAGGTATTAATAGTACAATGTGAAGACAAGTAAAGATGATATTTGAAAGTATGTCAATGTATTTTGGGCAATATTACTTTCAAAATGATACTAAGTACTTTCTAAAATATGGTTGTGAGATGACAAAAATAAAACATGAAAACTAATGGTAGCATTTTATTTAATTTCTTTTTAAAAAAACAAGGTAAAGGAAATCTGTAATCCAACTTATTTATTGTGTTTATAATAGACATCTGCACTAGCTAGTTCTGGCAAAAGTCTCACTGAGTTAATAATTGATGTCAATAAAAAAATAAATAGACACATTTTGTGTAGTCGTATGGAGGTAAATTATAGTTTTATATTAATAACTTGTATTAATATTTGGCAATAAATATTCATGTTGTGTGTTTCACATAAACTAAAATATATTTTATACTATGCATTAATGCAAACCTGCAGAAAATCTACAAAAAATAAGAAATCAAATTGTAAAAGTAAAAAAATTAGGAAGTGGCTAATCGTACTGGAACAGTATGCCAAAAGTCAAACCCATATATTTATTTAAAAGTTTGTAGCAGCACAGCCCATGAAAAATACTTGCACTTTGCAATTTCTTAGTTCTCATTGTTGTTATCCCGGGATGGATATAACCAAAGAGTAGATATATATCTAATCATTGATGCTAAATTATTGGAATTTCGAAGAGTGAACCCTCTTTTATATCTACTCTTCGTATGAAATCGTATAGACGACGGTCGATATATATCACCGATATGTTTATAGCTCCTTATACGAAAGTCTTGAGTAGAAAGTTTTGATATAAATTGATGCTAGAAGAGTTGCTTACCGTTAAGTTAAGAATAATCATTATATGGATTGACGGTAAATAACCAAAATAAAGTCTTTGTTTTGTGTACATTGGTACGAAATCATAAAATATTGAATGCCTAATAGTGTTTTTTGGTACTTTTTAGTGTTTATCTCCCCCCTGAATATTGTTTACGTATTCATTTCCGGAATGGTGTTTCGGTGCTTCCGGTTAGAGTCCACCTTTTACTAACGAGTCCAGTCCACCTTTTACTAATGAGTCCAGTCCACCTTTTACTAGTCCAGTCCAGTCCATGTTTTACCATATGCCATTCGACGCATGCAAAATGCGACGTTTGAAACAGGCCTAAAAGCCACATGGGATGCTCGAAAAATAAACAAAGAATTCTGAAATGTAACAATTATGCTACTCCTAATAACTGAAATATACGTGCACGAAATGTTTTAAAACAAACTATAAACAAAGATTTACGATGTGAACGCCGGTCGTTTCACAAACGAGGCAAAAAGTGATTGTTGAACAATTTATAATGAGCAATTATTGTTTAATTAACGTGTTTACACGCGCGCGTAACTTTCTGACCTGCCAACTTGTAAGCATAGCAACAAGAATGTTTGAATTTCCCCTCAAAGATTAAAGTGTTTGAACGCAATAATTTTGTGTAAACGACTCGAAAATGCAAGGATTAAATATGATGGAATTGAAGCGCTTATCGTATTTTTGGATCAAACCGCATTTGGGAAGATAAACGATTACTTTTTCGTGACAGTATATTATTTGCTTTCCTGTGTTGGCTGTGTAAAGACATTTCCATGCAAGTTATTGCAAGAATTTCTACAATCTCAATAACCTCATGGATTACAAATCATCGGACCGAAGGTGAGCTCAACGATTCTGTGATGAATTAGGCATTTAAAGCAAACGATAAATCGCTTGGTTTTCGAAATATATTTATTTATCTATTTATTTATATTTATCTATCTGTTTATTATCATGATTTCAATAATTTACTAGACTAAAACAGACGGGGAAGTCAAAGGGCCTGTCTGATCACCAAAAACTGTTAAAGGATCGCGGCCAACAACTGCCTCTCTTGAAGAAAATCAAGGCTGCGCCTTCGTTAGGAAAAAGTGTGAGTATGTCCAATGGAGTATTAGCTCAAGATTTTAAATTGCATCACGTGAATAGTGGATGATGTCTTGTGAGACAACATTAGTAGCAAATTAACAGCAAAACCTACTCGTATCCAGGGTCAATATTGCAGTACTGCCATCTCGCCCAATGAACTATGTTTACCTTCATTATTTTGATCTCCCCCATGGACATATATGACCAATAAAAAGGGGGGTTTTGAGATGAATTTACTTCAGGGGGGTTGACTACCCCTATATAGCTATACCTAGGGGGGCAAATTTCGGGGATTAGATATTGTGGTGTATTTGGAAGTTTAGAGTCTCTTCTGTCTAAAAATCTAGGTAGTACCTTATCATTTCATCTTTTTTTAAACAAACATACATTTTAATAGCCCTGCATAAAAGCTAGTGCATGTTTGTAACCCAACTCATGCCTGGCAACTGGTCTAACGAAACCACCCTGGATCCATAATCAGCACTTTTATTTATTTATTTATTACATACTATTAATATGTTTATTAATTATACATTAATAATTACTATGTGCCAGATTTTAGCAGATAATAGTAACAGAATTCACAAATTAATAGGGTAGCTCAGCAGTTATTTGCCTTTCTCTAGGTTTCAATTTTTTATTTAATATAATTTTAAAAAGCAGCTGCACTACAAAGTGTGTTCATATTACGACATACAATATAAATAACCAGATTAATAGGAGGGTTGTATCAAATTTTTGTTTAATAATTTACCACAATCAAGAAAGGCAATAAGACTTATTTAATCAGAGGCTTATTTAATCAGGGGCCTTTTTACTTAGGGGCTGAAAGATCCATTCAAGAAAATTCCGAGTGCTAAAAAGCTTGTGAAAGACAGTTATTTTGGGTAGGTTTTGCATCTTTAATTGCATAACTACTTAATATATTGACCTTATGTGTAAGTTATAAAGGGCTGTTGAGACTGCAGCTCACCCCAATTATTATCAAATCATCAGATATGGATCACATCAGAGGTTAGTGAATTGTGAATAGAAAGCATCTCATTTCTTGCAGGATAAAGGTGCTGATTGTCAAAGCTGCATGGTATAAAAAGGGCACTTTTAATCCTTTGAAAAATTTGCAGAGACATGTGCCACCTATTCCCACCCCCTATAACCACGCCCCTGCGTGGGGATTTATTTAAAACATATCCCACTAAGTACTTCATGCAGCTACCCACTGGAGAAAGTATTTCTTGCGGATATGTGTGAAACATTTTAATGACTGAAAATATCAATATGTAGTAACTACACTATTATTATTATTATGAAGAAAATGATATAGCAGAGTACATACCTTGTTTACCGCCTTCAACAATGGCGCCATTGCGTTCAAGCTCTCCTTCAAATTTCTAAACTTAGTTAGTAAACATCGTTATAGTTGTTGCCATTCATTTCGTAATTTAAGAATTACAATAAGTTGTTTTTATTCAATCGGATCTGGAGTTTGGGTCTGTTTCAGCAATTCACGTGTTGTTGCGAATCTTGGCCGTGAGTTCATACTGTGTGAAAGGACTTGGTTCTAGCCGGAAACGTACTTCCAATATTTGATTGCAGGGTAGCCTTCAACCTCGTACCCAGGGTCTTTACTCGTGGTGGTGGGGTACTCCCCACCACCACGAGTAAAGACCCTGGGTACGAGGTTGGGTAGCCTTTTATTTTAGCCAAATGATCTATTAAATTGTTACAATTATTAAAATGAAATATACGACCCGTTTTTAGTTAGATGAAATGCACATGAGTTTCGAGTCATGCTAACGGCGGTCCAATCTCCATCCTCCCCGCATGTCGGACATGCCCTCTCCCCGCGCCCCCTCCCTTGTTGACACGGAGAAAGTCAACATCAGTTTTTCAATCAAAATAGAAAATTAGGACTGTTGAACGAACTTCATGGAGAATCTTTGGTGTTTTCGAGATGTCCATCTGTTACAGCAGGGGGGGGGAGCGTTTAACGTAAGGTCTTTACAATTGTGAACTGGGTGGAATTCAGTGATGTTATTACATTTTAATATGTTGTGAACTACATTTTAATATTCTAATATGCTGTGAAGGAAAAATCACTTTCAGTCTCCCCTCCTAGCTTAAAAACCTTGCGTACAGGCTTTCATCGATATCCTCAAGATGGCATTGTTCCGTTTCGGAGTTCGTTAATTTCTTTCCATTTCTTACGAGTTTTAAATATGCATTTAATACCTTTTATCCACCCAATTTTTTTACAATTACAGCATTCCCCAGCATCACGGAGAGAATAAAAGACATATTCAGAAGGTGAGAAAACTTAGGAATTCTTATCGATAAAGAACTAGACATGCACCTAATTAAGCTGTCCCAAAAAACTTCAAAACCATTGAAATCCCCCATAACATTACCCGTTACCTTACAAATTTCGAAGTAACAATCGCCGATTTTCTCTGTGAAAAACTAAAAATTAACAGCAGAAAAAGCTCCACTGACAAACATTAAATTCTCCCTCATTCGCTTTTTGAATTCGTTATAATTCAAATTACAAATGAAATTATATTTTAGTGAAGTGTAATTATCTTTTAGTGAAGTGTAATCATATATCATTATTTTTTTTTCATTTTAATTACATTTCACGTAGAAATTTGACATTTATGACTTGAAAGATGGTTTACCCCATTTGCCGAAAGCAAGCAAAGACATCAATAATCAGGAACAAGTACGTCTGCATATTATCTTTAACATAATTAATATACTTTTTTAATATACAGATAGTCTGATCTTACACGGAGTTTGATTGGCTCGATAGTTTTGTGGAGCCAATCAAATTTCGTGTAACATCAGACTTTCCGCGTTTGACGTCATTAGAAGAAAGGTCTAATGAATTTTTGGACCAGGAACTGGTCCCTAACCGCTGCTAATCTTGTTGTTGTTGTTAGGGGGCGACGCTCTTTAAAAAACCCTAAGGCTCTATCATTACTTGTTTGATCGAAATGAAACTTGGCACAATTATTCTAAGCATTATTCCGCATCGATTGACGGAGTTCGAATTTTTACTTTTGACCTTTGAAGCAAGTTACAAGCAATTCTTGATATATTTGCAGCAAATAATATATACATATCATTAATATTCAGCCTAATATAAGTAAACGGAAACGATTAGAAATACATTGTCCTCTCCATTGTTATAAATACAATGCAGTTCAGAAATTAAACTCGGTTACGCAGTTCCTGGTCTCTATAGTACGATCGTACTTGTTTCTTTACCATCTTGTTCATATATACAACAGTAAGAAAAGACATAAACCTGAGTTAACCCAATTTTAAGAATAAATTCAGTATAATTCTTTATACTGTCTAGATTCAATTCAAACATGATCACAACAAGACCAATAAGGTAATGTCAAGATATGGTGTACATTATTCTGTTTTGTAAATATTAAAAAGAAATGAAATTTTGCTAGCTGCAATATATATGAAGTCTTATTTCACTATATTTGAAGCTTTTGGCGCCATTGAAACATCTTTAATAAATCATTACGAAAAAATGAATGTTTATTCAACATTTTTTCGTGCAATGGTCAATATATTTTCATATTATGCTCTCGAGAAATTACTTAAAATCCCCTCCCCCTCAAGGTTAAAGAAGAGGCTCCACTATCCATCCTACCATGGCGCGGAATTTATTGAATGAATTTCATAAAAATATTTTGATATATGCTATGACAACATAAATTTTTTTCAAGCAAAATAATTTCAATACTTCATTGTAATTATTAATCATACTAGCTATCTTTTTGCATTTTTATAGCAAGGTATAGTGCGTAAGGTATAGCCAGGATATAATTATTCTAATTTTTGTACTTTAGAAAAGTGCTGGAGAGACACTGCCACAGCTTCTCAATAACAAGACATTATCAAATCATCATTTTATAAATCTGATAAAATCAGGTATGTAAGTCGATTGTCAATTGGTATAA